CCCCCCCCCCCCCCCCCGATAAAAGAGAACCTTATGATCCTGGGTCCAGAACATGTAAAATTTTACTATAGAAACTTGTAAAGAATTATATAATTATGAAGTTGGGCTTGCAATTTTGCAGAAATATTTAACACGGCATTCGAGCCTTTGCTGGTATTGAATTGTTTGCTTCTTTTTCGCAATCATTCATCAAGAGCTTCAGGAAAAAGAAGACGTTTTTTGAAGGAAAGCAAAGAACGCACTCAGGTAGGACTTTCTCAACTGAATCTTTTTTTTTTTTTTTTAAGAAGTGCTCCAGTCTATTCGTGGGGAGCAACACGTGCTGGGAAGGGCCCAGCGTCCCATATCGAATTGTACAGATCATTGAGAACATTTGAGATTGTTTGAGATCAACTGAATCTAATCTCGATTGCAGTCAGATTCCGTCGAGAAAAAGTCGTAGTGTGAGTATATGCTCCCTGGAAATGAAAGTTGTATTGAGCTTGGTGGGACCCAGATGGTCTCATATGAAAGATAGCTGGGGTGAGGTTCCAAAAGGATTGGATTTGACGCCTGAATCTGGATGTCTTTGTGGAGAGAGGTGTAGAAAATTACAATTGGTCTGATTTTCTGCATCTCTGCTTGAAATCCATCTAGATTCAGGCGGCTCATCCAATCCTCTGTGCTACTGGGCCCTTGCTCCTGGTAAGAGAAGAAAAGTGAACTGTACAGAGCTGCTCCGGTTCATCTTTCCTCTGCCCAATCCACCAAAAAAAAAAAAAAAAAAAAAAAAAGGGTGTTGCATTGTGTCTTTGCAATGTGCATATGGAATGTGTGTGTGTGTGCGGCAGTGTGCCCTTTTTTTTTTTTTTTTTTTTTTTTCTTAAAGAATCATGTCAGGGACCCTGGACCAGGTTTCATGCTATATTGATGAAATGTGTGTGCCCATTTTTCAATTTTCAATGTTAGATATTTTCAATTTTGTGTGTTGCTTTTCAAAGAGCATGCCTACGAGTTCCATGCCTCTGGTCGTCTAGCCAACGTGTTGCCTGATACGGATGCCTGAATCTGGACGTATGTTTCCTGCTGGTGTCCTGTCTTTTCTCTTCTTCTGCTTTTGCATCATGTGCACAGCCCTGCAACTCTGGTTCGTTGCCTACGGTAAGCACACCGTTCTCAAGTCCCCTGAAATATCTGTACATACTACACAGTACACGTGTAAAAAAAATAAAAAAAAATCAATATAAAAACGGTGTATAGCCTTAGGAGTAGTGGTAGGTAATGACTCTAATGAGAGGAAAAAGATATGTTCCATGACATATAGCATATACTATATAGCTGTTCCCCGATGAGGAGAAATCTTTTTAGCATTACTTAAAAAAAAAGAAAGTGACAACAAGTGCGGTTACTTTTTTTTTGCTTTTTTTTCCCTGTCTCTCTCTCTCTCTCTTTTCTGCGGTTAATTTCAGTTCGATACATCGTGAGCATGAGACATTATGAGGATCTCATATTTTAAGCCCGAAGGGTTGATGTCGAATGCAGTCTGGGGAGGGAGTGGGGGTGGTAGTTGAGTGGGGGGGGATAGACAACAAGAGAAAAAAAGACATACATAAAACTGATCGTGTGTGTGTGTGTGTGTGGGTGTGTGTGTGTGTGTGTGGGGGGGGGGGGGGGGGGGGGGGGGGGGGGGGGGGGGGGGGGGGGGGGGGGGAGGGGGGATGGGGGAGTGGGGTGGGCAGCTGACTACCATTCATAGGATAAAGAGTGGTTGGATGCTGGAAGTAGGGAAAAAAAATCAAAAAAATCGACCTCAGATCTAGGCTACCAGCCGGGCCGCTCGGGTCACCCTGTTTTCCCGGGCAGCCTGGCCGTGCAAGGACCAGGGAGGGGCCCAGCGAAAAAAGAAAAAAAAACCTCCAAAAAATCCGACAAAAAACTATGTTATGCCGAAAAATAAACTGAGCAACTTTTGCCTCAGGGTAACATACTAACATCGAAATTCTTTACCAAATTAAAAAAATATATATATCTTCTCTCTCTCTGCCTACGGTTTTACCGGGCAGTTCTGTTTGTGACGATATATATAAAACTCTGACGAAACAGTTTGTCACAGCCCCTCGTTTGTTGTCCTCTTCTCCCTCTCTGCCTACGGTTTACCGGGCAGTTCTATTTGACGATATATTGTCAATTATTAATATTTAATATATATTAAGGTAGATTATCATTTACAGTGTAATCAGTGAGGGGATTCTGCAGACTGTTGAGGGTTCAGCCTCCTGATGAGTCGGTGAAACTCCGACGAAACAGTTTGTCA